TTAGAATGTCAAACAAAATACTTACCAGCACAAATGGCCGGAATTGCCACAGAGCTGTATTTATACCATTCACAATAGCAAATGATATCACACACAAGTTGTTCAATAAGGTTTTCATCTCTTTGTCCACATACATGAAAAATAGCTTTACAGGGGAAGTTTCCAGACTGGGTCACATAAATTTCTCCTCGGTCCACTTTTGCTGCACAGAAAGTGACACAGGAAGCATGAGTGAGAGTCAGATAAGTAAGATGAGAAGATAAATAGCTGCTTCTCTTTTTCTCACCTGCTTTCAGTTCAGTTTCCACCTGTGGTCCAGCTACAGTTAAGATGTCTTTGCATACCCCATCTTAGAAGGAGACGAAAAATGAATAAATCTGGACCTAGTAACAACCTTAGATGTATTTTTTACATCAGTTTCATTGCAATCCATCAAATAGCTGTGGACAAATCTCAATAAATTTCAACTACTGCATGCAGTGTAATATCAGACATTCTACCCATTTGATTTCTTATGATTCCTCTGACAGTGACTCAAGCCACATGATCTGTTTCTATTTCACAATCAATCCACAAGTATTTATAGGAAATGCTGCTGAATCTGCCTGATCTGCACTTGCACAAAAAATGTGAACCTACAACCATGATAGGTACGAGATATAAAATACAAAATGTAAAATAGTAGTTAGTTTTGCAGCTACATGCACATTAAATGTAAAGTATAAGTAACTGACTAATTACTTACATTGTGGGACCATGACTACTTGTGCTCAGTAGCAGTATAAGTATATGCCAAATGAAAACTTCAATCTTCAAAGATTACATTCAAATATACATCCCCATTTCTGAGCAAATATTCATAAATAGCTGTCTGCCTTTGCCATCCACAGAGAGCTATGCTACCATTGTGGTTAAAAATAACTTTACAGTTACAGCATGAACATCCTGCTCACTCCGCCTTCCTGCCTTTATATGCATCCTCGGTTTCACCTACCAAGGTTAAAATTTTGGAAGTCTGTTGTGTTCACCACAGCATCTGTAGTCTCATTAGTGATGTCACCAAACACCACATGTAGTTTAACTCCACTTCCCAGTATCATGACAATGTCATCTAGGTCACTGGTGAGGGACCTGAAGATTGCTGAGATGAAGAACACCACACATTAGATTTTGTCTGAAATTTATTCTGCTACTGAGGGTGCTGATGAAGATGGTAAAATATGATACTGGCTGAATGCTTTTTATCTGCTCACTTTACATACTGAAGACAGTCTGAGTAGTGCTAGTTTACCTTGGCCTCCCTGGTTCATATTTAAGCTGAGCTGTTTGTAGACATCGTGGTAGCACTGTAGATAAAAACAAAGAATAACACGATGAAATATGGATGCCTTCATGTTACATATCAGATCAGGACATATCGATTGACACTGACCGCCTCAGAATCAGGGTAGCCAGGTTTAATCACAATGTGGATGTTTGTAAGAGAGCCAGAGGATGCAGATAATCCAAACTGGTGAATGACGTCAGTCAGCACTTGAATGGCTTCTCTCAGCGGGTATTGTAAAACAATTCCTGGCCCAATGATCGGAATGGCCACTGAACCCAAATTCTGCCGTACACAAAGCTCCAGACACCTCTTCAGACCGTTACCAAGAGCCTGCAAATTAAAAGTTACATATTTTTAAACTATGTTACAGTTAGATTTCATTCTATAAATCCTTGCTTGGAGTTTGTGCCATATAACATCAAGTTATTCCAAACTTTCAACTTTACACAGAAATGGTACTTTATTTAATTTCATAAAACTTTACCAATCCCAAAGGAAATTCATTCATGTACTTCTAAAGGTAAATGAATTTGATATTTTCCATCACTATAAGTATTATGAAAGTCCTTAATTTTACCTGAACACTCTTTCCTCTTACTCCGTCCCAAGGCAAGCACTCAATGAAGAAAATCTTGGAGCAGCCCAGAGATGGAGGTGCATCAACCAGCTGAACATCACCAGGGGCGAGGGCACAACTGGCTAAGACTGAATCAAACTTTACCTTTAATACATTCCCAGCTTTGGCCAACAAACTCTTGCCAATATTTGTAGAAGTCAGCTGCTTGTTGAGCATGGGGACCACCAGAACATTTGCCTGCAGAAATAATATTGAATAACATGAATGCTGATATTTTGTTTTGGGATTATGGGAAATAGAATTGAATGAAAATAATCAAACCTGTTCATTTTCTAAACTGCTGAGTTTGATCTTCAGGTTTGTTCTGTTGATTGCAGAGTTTCCAATTGTGCTGTACATGCTGCTGCTGTAGCTGAGAGATCTAGGTGTGTCACTGAGTCTGCTGGTGTTTCGTGGTCTTTGCACATTTGGGGTGGCTGCAGTTTGCTTATCTCGGATAATGACGTGACAGGAACCCTCTATCAGCTCTTTAGTCACTTTACCCTCTTCCTTGAAGTACTGCTGAGCCCCTGGTCCATCTAGAGTCAACGTGTCTACTATAACACTGTCTAGAGTTGATGTTAGGGCCTCCTTGGCCTCCTGAACATGACATCGAGGACCAGACACAAACACACAAGGATTTGGAAAATGTGAGGCTTGTAAGGTCACCTTGGTCTGCTTCATGCCAATCAAGTCTA